GGTGGGGCTGCCATACATCGGCGCCACCAGACCCTCTGACCACCATCAGTAGGCAAGGTGGGTGAAGTGTCTTGCCCAAGGACACAACGACTGGGACGGCTGGACGGGGGATCGAACCAGTGACCTTCTGGTTCCAGGACGACTCCCCTAACCACTCCGCCACAGCCGCCCATATTCACTCCTTCAAAAGATTTTTGTAAGAAAAACTGAAATATTCAAAAGTATGAATTTTCTAGTTAACCATATAGACTAAATGGAGCTCAAATTAACTGTGGCATAGCCACTTATTTTGTGCCAAACCAAACCATTAGAGCCATTTTTACTTTATTATTTTTGTTAGGCTACTGGTAACTCTAAATTGTAGATGTGAGTTACCTTGACTTGATACTAGAGATGGGATAAATGGCTCTTTGAAGGGATCCAGATCTTGGGGAGCCATTTGTTTTGAGCCGTTCAAAAGAGCCGTTCGATTTTGAATGTATTACRTCATCACGTCAGGAAATACGTCATCACGTAGCCGTACGTAATGACRTAATCCCGTGACGTGGGTGGAACCATGTGTTTGTCAAGCGGAAACCCCCCTCCCTCTTTCACCATGAGCTTCTGTACTCCACAACTCCGCCTGTTTTCCGTGAAAAAGCAAAGCAGGAGTGATTTGAGTATGAAAAAATAAAGATTATATGAGAAATAAAAGAAAGAAAACTACAAATCGCTCGTTAATGCCCACGATTCAGCACCTATCGTTCATTGTAAAGAGACGTTCAAAAGATTTGGATCGTTCACGAACGTCATATTGCTAATTGACACCAGTAAGTGCAAGCTCCCCAGAAAAAAATACACCAAAAAACACACAAAGTTGTACTATAATCAGTCTGTGATTTTGTGCATGAATGATTCATTAACAGTTAGATTACAGTGGGTTTATTTAGACCTGCTCTGACTGCAGCCACCTGTGAGTTCTCTAGAACAGGACCCCAACATCTGAAGGAAAAAGCTTGATTTCACGTCAGTCTTCATAATGTTGCTAGATGGCTCTGAAAACTCTCTAAATATAGCAACAAACTCACTAGTTGGCAATGATGTGTCCGTCTCGTGTCTTTTTGTTGCTGTGTGATGGACCGACTTGACCAGAGTGTACCCTACTTGAGATAGACACCAGCTCCATGTGACCCAAACAGGAGCAGTGGGTAAAGAAAGTGGATGGATTGTGCATGGGCATCTGTCTATTCAAGAATGGGAATGTTAGGTTACWATGCATGAGAAGGAATCATATTTGCATCAATGGTTTTTAGTCAAAAATGAGTTTCTGCCACTTTGCGGACARCTAGACTCACATCCTAACTCTGATTTAATGTGAATAAAAGGAAATGTTGGTCTTCTAATATGCAATAAGCTGATAATCCAAATAATGATAGGTAATGARCACTTTTTCCTGTGTTTAAAATCTATTTATATTTAGTCATTATAACACCAATCATGTCATAACATTAGTGAAATRTTTCAAGAGACCAACAGGCTCATTTTGTAGGCAAATACTGAATGTGCAACAAGTCCCTTGTGACTAAACAGACTGTGGAATAGCTGACTCAGTTGTTTAGTGCTACAAGTATTTGTTGATTCGTGTGAAATGACCCTGGTATATTTGGCTTCTATTTTTTACTTCTTTCTTCTTCTTCTACTTCTTCTATTTACAATTTTGGTGGGAAAACTTGCTCATGTCAGCCTGCTGTGTTTTATGGCCTGTCCCTTTTTTCATGGTGACCTTTCTTCACTCCTGCCCACACGTTCAGCTCATATCTCTGAGAGCTGAAGATGTTCTTTTTACGGCTGCACTATCTTTCAGACACCTACTTTCATTGATAGACATGAGTGGACATGTTGTTTCTGGCTCCTGGACTAAGACCACTTCGTACTGGATCATGATGTGCTAGTCAATGGATGGTCTTTGCAGGGTTTTGATGAGGTTTTCAGATGATTTAAGGAAAACAGTGGGCTMCCCATGTTGTGTAATACAGTGTGAGAGGTTGCCAATATTTATGGACACATAAAATGTCTATGAAGTGAAGCCGTAAAACCAAGGTTGTGGTGGTTTATTATGTTGGAAGTAATGAATCAGGATCCTGGGTGCAGACAGTTTGGTGTTTGGGCACACTGTGGTCATCTAGAATGTGAATCAGTTTTTATTTGGTACTGTGTGTGTTGTGTCCAATATAAAAAGCTCTGAGAACTTTAGGAACATTATGTTTGGTTTTCTTAACACTGACATTGGCATCTCTGTGTCCAGAGAGTGATTTTTTAGCTAGTCCAACATGAAGGCATGGTCGCCGCTTGTAAAAGTAGTGTCAAGGTTCAACTGGAGATCTTCTAAACTCTTTAAACTTTACTTAAAATTTTAAGGCTATTCAGTATCATTCTGAAACTGTCAGATCTGATGAAAACAAAATGATCCCTTGTGTTAGTGTTTAGATCGTATTTCATATTTTTGAAATAGTGGGTCAGAAATCCCAAAAAGCCAAACATACCTTGTTGAAACCAATGTCTTGTGTTTAAGTTATGACTCTGTCTGGAAGGTTTATTTGCCCTCTGAATCCACAGGTTAAATTGATAAACTCAATTATAGTACTTAACCTCTGAACTGCATGTGGTTTTGGGTAACATTTTAGAACTTTGGAGAGTCTAACTCACTGTCACTGGTATTTTTATTTGAAAAGAGAAGGAATAGATTGTTGCACTTTGACCTAGATGTGAATATGGGGTAAAGGTTATGTGCAATATCACTTTGTAAATGTTTGCCTCAAAACTAAAAACGGTGGGTGGCAAAATCTCAATTTTTCCWGGTGATTGGTTTCATAGCTAGCATAGTACAATGACAATAAAGGTCTAATCTAATCTAGATTCCCCTCCAGTCCTTTGACCTTACACCTTAACCTTATAAGATGGAGTGTATGGGGGGGGCTTCAGACAGTTATTACCTACTGCTCTGTCAGCTTGATGTGTGGGAGGGCGCTATAATAATAATACAATGAAACCATCCCACTCCTACATTATTTAGCTTTAATATGACATGCAAAAATGTTTAGTTTAAATAAGACACGTGCAATCGGATAAAACAGTGGTTTGTTAATTTGCTATCAAGGATGGGAATTCACAGCGTATTACTGACAGCTATGTGCATTTAGCACAATGTTAATAGTATACATTTTTTATTGTTTTCTTGCAATGGGAACCATATGATCCTGTCACTGTGAGGGCAGGGTTTTCAGGACTCAATAGCTTTTTAATGATGTTTTTTATGGTTACCAGTCTCCTGCTAAACAATGAACAGTCATTCATATCAGAGGTCAACTATAATTAAATTTAGAGAGTTCTGGTTAGCAGAAACTTATCCTTTTTAATTTACTTAACAAGTATAGGTTGTTTAACTGAAACTCAATGTGACTACATTTATTCTGAGCTGTTATAAAGGTAGTGCATTTAACTGGTCTCTGAACTTAGTTTTGATTTGTAATTTGTTCAGATTTTTTTCTCGTTTGTTCCAATGTACTGTAGTTCCACTGATCTGAGATAAATGAAATGTTGTGACAGAAAGGCTTTAAAGCTACTTTAAGTCCTTCATGGTGGTGCTCGCCAGGGAATCCTTTTGACTTGGATCTCATGACGGCTCCAATTATGGGCACAGTGTGGTCCAACTGCRTTTCTGTCAGAAAGGCTTTTCCYTCTCTCTGGTTTGTGTTGCAYTTGTAAAAAAATGAGAGGTGATGTAGCTGCATGGCACAGAAGTAATGGGATATTTGGAGGTGGATAATGGGTCAAGGTGTTCTGGGGTTTGTGTGGTGTTCTTTAAACAGTTGGAATGAGTATTTAACTCCGTTAGATGTGCTGGTGTAGAAATAAATTGTCCTTCAGGTGAGGTGAGAGTTCAGTTTTTTTTAATGGGTTCTCCTAAACTCTGGCACCCCGTTCTGGAATGTTAAGAAAAGACAAAAAGCCRTTTTCCTGGTCAGTGAGCGGTCAACTTGACAAGACAAAGTAACCCCATAAAACCCAGCACTGCTCCATTCATCAGCAGCTTTTTTTTGTGCCAAACTGACCTTGAAGCTGTTAGTGTTCAACAAAGGCTGCCTGGAGAACGTGAATTGAGATCGCACTTAAAATGCTAATGATGAAACCTTTGTGTGGCCAACATTTTTGATCTCTGAGAAGGATCCAACTTCTTTTTGTACAATTTTTTAAATTATTACTATTTTTTCAGTGATTTTTTTTAGTCAGCTGTATCACAGAAAGATGAAATTTGGCAGGAATGTAGATGTGTCCGACCTACACTGTGCCAGCCAACGGTTTTCCGATAGRCTCCATATTTGAGGAGAGGGCCCCACCTAAAAAGAGGCTGTCTGGACTAACAAGAATGCTTGTAACTCAAAAACGATTCAACCTAGGAGCTTCAGATTTCTTTTGTTGTTTAGCTCTGATGAAGGTCTATCCATTGGGCCCACCATTGACCCCCCCAAGACTCCCACCCAAAACAATAAATCTGTTCTGGTGACTTCTGGAGTCTAGTGCTTTGCGTACGTGCAGGGGTCACATTTGCTACCACTATGCGGTACAGTTTCAAAGCGGCATCTGGTAAATTACACTACTGTATTTATTCAAGTATAATACATAAAATTAAATCCATAAAATCATCCATAAAGTTGGGGGGTAGTACTATACTTGGATAAATATTTTTACTTATGCATTTTAACTGAAATATCGGCTTCATTCACAAAATCCCTGAGTCTGGAAATGAAACCGCGTCTAAAAAGCAGTTGAAACGAGCTTACCTCTGACACTCGTCCGTGCTTCAGAGCAAGATAATAACAGATCCAGGCAGGCGACATGATGTGAAAAAAAGGGGAAAAAGTATTCCTGCACCTTAGTAATGATAACGAACTAAAGACATAAGCACGTGACCGAGCCGCTGCTGGAACAACAACAAACAAATGTTCGTCTGTAATGGCTGCCATCTACCGGTGTTCTGAAAAAGTTTGTATCCCTGAAAAAAGTTTCCCCACCAGAAGGGGCGCTCACGAGTAGGAAGTAATCAGCTTTTCCACCAGAAGATGGCCCAAATCTCATGTGAAGTCTCTGACATTTGTGTTGGTGCMTCCTGGTGGACTATGTGTAAAATGCCAGAATTCATATGATGCTGCTACAGCTGATATATATTTGTTGTCAAAATACCTTTTAGTACATATGTTGTTAAAATAAAATGAACAGTCCAATGCTCATTTTACTGATATGTATAAAGACTGCAAAGGCTGAAAAATCTTGAAGTCTGTTTGAAATTGGAGGTAGATATTTTTTATGCTTTTTAAGCTAAAAAACGATCTCATGTATTATACATGAGATCGTATTATACATGAATAAATACTGTAAGTTGAAATAAAAAGTGGGTGATGATTATAAAGGTCATAAATATTTCCTCGAAACTAATAAACATGTCCACAATTTTGTATCTTAAATGCACATCTGGTTGATGTGAGATGCTTTCGATAATGAYAGGTTTAGGAAGTTTCCAAAATCTGCATGCACGTATGATAAAGTGGCAAAAGTATTCAAATAAATCCATGTTTGAATTATTAGAGGAAAATCTTATCAAAAGTTACATTAAAGTTACTGCCTCTACTTTGTAAAAATTTAACTTCAGCATCAGATGAATTCTGCAAACTAAATGATGTGCTTTCCATATTTCTGCATACTAAACCAAAACTACAACAAGTTTTTTTATGACTAAGTTCAAAAAAAGAGATCCAGGTTCAAACATGTGCACAGGCTCATCCAARGGGTGCTCAAGGAGTGCCATTCTGAGTTTATCAGAGTAAACATCTGGTCGTCTTGGTGTAAATGACTGTTTTTCAAGTGTTATTCTTGCTGAAGTCAAAGAGTACCTGGAACATTCTAAACATGGGCTTTATTGTGTCATTTCAAGATTTCTGTAGGAAATAACTGCTTTGCTTTGCAAAAAAAATGATAATAATCAGTTTTAACTGTGAAGGTTTGAACAGTTTGTTTCCTTCGCAACAAAATATTTTATCTTTAACAGCTAAAAATCATAGATTTAAACTTGTAAAGAACCTTAATATGAACTCTGTTTACATATTATTGTGTTTTTCAGCAAGTTGGTCCCTATTTAAACATCTTGTTGCTCATTTGGTCATATTTTGATTTAAAATTTTATTCCCGTGTATATTGTTACTGTGTTGCAGAGAGTATCAGCACAGGAGGATGTCTTTTTATTGCTGTCCTCTTCCTGTTTGACTGGGTTCTTTGACAGCTTAGAGTCAAAATAAAAACTTCTTTAGTTCTCAGAAAGCTCACAGATGATCGGGGGCTGGGGTTCCTGGCTGTTCAGCAGAAAGCAGTGTCTCGAGTTCAGCCGAACGTCGAGCCAGCTGTCAGCCCGGCTGATCTCCTGCTCTCATGGCTATAGGGAGGCTTTGAACTGAGTGATGCAGACACACAGTTTCTCACCAGGTGGTAAACCAAAGCATTTCTTGAGAGGGATCAAAACACGCCGCACGCTGTCCAAAAACACTCATTTCTCTCATTTGTCTTTCAATACGAGAAAACAGTATTTTTCATCAAAGCAGGACGTTTGAGTTTCAAGGCTGGTGTTTTGCCACACAATTGAGTTATTACTCATGC